ATATATATATATATATCCTACGTTTAAAGGCTGTTAAATTGAGTTGTTTACCCATATCTTCAGAAAAAATTCACTTCTACTGTCGTGGTAAACAACCTGCTTCCCTATTTATAATGGTCTGGCCCTCTAGCAACTTTGGCGCAAAATTATAGCTAATTTGCCTACAAACGTCAGGTGGTCATAATAATCTGGCCACTCAGTGTATATAAAAGCCGAAGTGACTGGTTGACTGTTCGACCAGTAGCTATGACAGGCACTGACCACCAGGGGGCAGACACTCAACGCAGGAGCTGCCCCCTGGTGGTCAGTGTGCTCCCACAGTGAGAGTGCTGCTCAGCTGACCAACGGGCGGCAGACGCTGGGCTCAAGGCTGGTGAGCACAGCTATGGCAGCACAAGCCTCTCCCACAGACACTCCCCCTGCACGCCCCTTCCCCATCCGGACTGGGCCTGGGATCGGGAACCGCATTGGGACTGACTGGGCGCGAGCCTGTGGCCACTTCTTGTTCATGGGCGCGCTGGTATCACCCAAGGACAGGTGCACGGAGACCACAGCGGAGCGGCAATGAGCCTACTGAGCAGTGGTGGCAGCACAGCAGGGCTGGGATGAGCAGGAGTGGTGCCCCAGGCCCAGCTTGGGCTCCTCCCCAGCTCAGGCTCCTCCCCAGCTGCCTGCCACTTTGCACACTACTACATCCCTGCAGGCCAGGCCAAGGGACCCCACCGGTGCACAGATTCGTGCACTGGGCCTCTAGTTTAAAAACAAAAAGGATGAGTCTCAAAAAACAAAATAAACAAACAAACAAAAAAAAAACAGTATACTAAGCAAAAAAGCCTAAAACAAAAAATCAGAAATGTATAATTCCATTTAAATGAAATTCTGGAAGAGGCTAATCTCTATTTGTGTGGAGCACTGGGTTAGATTGAGAGCAAAGGGGCATAAGAGAACTTTCAAGTGTTGGAAATGTTCTATAATTTGATTGTGGTAGTGGTTACACAATTATACATCTGCCAAAACTCATCAAACTATACACTTAAAATGGGTGCACACACTGTTTGTAAATTACACCCCAATAACATTAACTTGAAATAAAAAAAGATGCCAATTTTTAAAATCCAGATAATGTAATATATGAAAGTAACCTTGTGTGTGTGTGTGTGTGTAATAAACAAATATCCACATATATGCGTGTGTGTATATGAAGGAGAAAACACTTGGAGTATAACAAAAATTTATTATTTAACAAATGCAATCCTATATAACCCTATATAATAAAAGCCTAATATGCAAATTGTCCCCTTGGGTGGTCGTTCGACCAGGAGACCGGGAGTTCAACCGCTTGCTATGACCTGTGCTGACCACCAGAGGGCAGCACGGAACATGGTGGGCATCGGCGACGTGCTGCAACCTCTCACTGGCTACCTGGGGGTGGGGGAAACGGGGACGGAGGTGCGGTGAGAATGCGGGGTGTCCTCCGAGCTCACTCTCACTCCCCCTGCTACCCTCCCACTGGATGCCAGGGCTCGCATGCCAGGCGCCTGCTAGGAGCCCACCGCACCCACGCGGCCTCTTCCGGGTGTGCCGGGCCATAGCCACAGGGACTACAGGGGCAGTCGGGTTCCCCGTGGGTTCTCGCAGGAGCCAGTCTGAGAGGCTGGCTGGGAGAGAGCGCACTGCCCGCCCAGCTTTCATGCAGTGCTGCCGGGCCCAGAGGCCCACGCTGTACCCCGGCCCATGGTATCTGGCCATGCTCACCACATCTGTGTGGGGACTCAGGCGCTGTGACACAGAAGGAGGGGGACGCATGGGGGGCCCGGGGGCCCAGGTGCTGCCAGGGCCCAGAGGTCAGATGGTACCTGCCCTTCCACGCCAGACACTTGTGCTTCAATCACCACCCAGGCCTAGGGACCACACCAGTGCATGAATTTCGTGCACCAGGCCTCTAGTTCTTAATAAATAAATTTGAATAAAGTTCATGTTAAAGTGCTTATGTGACTATGAATTGTTCTAGGTGTCACTTTGCTTCCTTGGTACCTACCTAGTACAATATCTGGAAGAAACATAGATAATACACAACAAACGCTGTTAAAATAAATATGTGGAACTCCCCATTGCCTCTCTGACCTGGGACCTCTGAACAGAGTCTTACAGGAAGCAGAGGAGTGAGCCTGTCAGGTATAATGGAAAATTTTTCAAGCTTTGGGAAAACCAAGTGTATATGCATGTCGTTTTAAAATACTTATATTCCCATAGATTAAAAGCTTTACCAGGTACAGCAGAGATTTTAGGTCATATACCCTTTCATTCATTCAGCAGGATTTCTTGGTCTACTCTACACATGCATGGCACACACAAAAATGCAATCATTAGAAGGAAAGTGGAAAGTTTTAATACCATATAGCCTGAAACCTGACCATAAATAGAGGAAATCATTACTGGAAGAATGATACACTGTCTCCTTCCCCACCTCCCTCTACCTTCCAGATAGTTGGAAGAGCATCTGGCTATTTATTCTTCACTCATGGTATCCAAATTGGTCCTTGTTGAGCTTTTATTAGGTTTATCAGGATGGCCCCAAATTCACTCTGTAGGGCATCTATTCTGATCCTCAATTTGGGAAAGAAATATGCTCATTATTCCTTGTATTTTAGGACAGCTCAGGTGCACAAAGAAAAGTGTCTTGTCAGGGAACAGCGGCATGCAGAAAGTTCACAAAGGAGCTGATAAAGTGCAGAATTTTAGGTCAAATTAAAAGGAGGGAAATGAGGGCCAAAGCAACAAAGTATTTGCCCATCATGTGATAGCTAATTTAGTCACACATTAGGTCGTTTATCTCATAGACTGTGGGAATCCCGGAAGGCGTCCCGTTTAAATGTTGGCCCATTCCCATCAGGGTCCCTTCACCACACATTCTGAAGAGAGAGTCGGAACCGAACCGGGCTGACCGAGCCAATGGGAGTGCGATGAGTACCTCGATGAAAGCCAGGGGGTCCTGGCCAGAAGCGTGAGGAAAAGGTGGCCAAAGCCAAGCCAGAGGAAAGGGAGGTGGCCCGGAACGAGGGCTTTCTGACAGGACGCAAATCGGGTCGCACCGTGGACCTTACCTTCGCTGAGGTTCCGCCCCGACAGGTTTAACTGGCCGCTCTTCCTCGCAGCCTTTAGCAGCCCCTGGGGCACGGAGGCACCGCAGTCTCCCCTTTCAGCTTTGAAACCCGCTCGGGGATCCCGCCCCGCGACCCCTTTCAGACGCGACATGTTCCCACCCCGAGTCCCGAAGCAGAGAGCCCTGCGCGTGACGCTCAAAGGCGCC